TCCTAAGTGGCAGTGCAATGCAACATTATCATAACTGCGACTGTGGTTGTTGGCGATATGTCCATAGATCAGACGTTGTCGATATTTGGTGCTTTGATAACCTGCAGTGACATTTTTTTTGTTTATCGAGAAAAGACATTCCATGGAATTAATGTCATTGCCACCATAGCACAAGCACAGACACACGGAGTCCCACTGGATCTCTGTTGGTGCAACAACGCTTCAGTTGTGACGCTTGTTTGCAGCGGCGGGTGGGACACCAACACCAAACTCAAAAAGTTGAGGCAGATTTGGTGACACAAGGTTTCTCTTTCGCTGCTCATTAACTGGTCGGTATATCACCGAGAACTAGGTTCCTTACGCAGCTGGGTGGGGATGTTGTCAATAAACAGGTGCCGAGTCGGGTCCGGGCTCCGTTGTCGCTACCGGTGATCTTCCCTTTCGACAAACATGAACGTCTCCTCTGTGAGAATTTGCACCTACCAGGAGTGTAACGTTGAACATGATGGACATTTTGTTTCTTTCCTGTGTGAATGGCGGATATGTACTGACTGTTGCCGGCGCTGGGCAACCGATAGTCTGTACAACACTAAGGGAAAACTCCGGTGATGTCTCATCCCACTTTCACCGACTTTGCACTAGCTAACGTCTTCGATGACGAAACCATGATGGGCAAAGGCCTGTTGACGAGATTGTAAAGTAAAATCATTTGTATCCATTTCCCGGTCCATTGTTGGATATCAACGTTCAGCATCTCCACCTCCACCGGGTGATGGGGTGCGGAATGGCGATTGTTGTTGTTGGGGGTTCGGCCGTTCGTTTAGTTCGATTATTCCTCGGCGATGAGGCTGTTGGAATATCCAGTAGCTAGGGACAGGTGAGGAACCCTTTGGGGACCAAACAAGGGCCTACGATAGGTCAGGTCGGAAAAGGCCCATTCTCGACCAATCCCCATCGGGGATCTTCTTTCGGATACATCCAGATCCGCGAACTGAAACCTGGCAGATGACGAGATAGGCGCCGCTCTTCGGCAGTCTCGTAACGGACGCCTCATACCGAAAAATATCGGGCCTCTGGGGCCTGGGTCCTGGGAGCCTGGGCACCACCTGGCTGCTGGCTGGCGAGAGGCCTGCCATGCCCTGGTGATCGCTGCGCGCCGAGCAGTACACCGGGCACCGGCAAGTGCGGAAAGGGAAGCAAGCACACGCTGTGGTACACTACACACAAGACCCCTCGCCCAGCAAAGACGGTCAGAAAGAAGACGGAGAATGGAACATTTTAGGAATAACGGAGGGTGGTGCGTAAAACACTTTGGTACGTACCCCCTCCTCAAATAACCCTATCTTCTCAAGTACCTCCTCCTCAATCAACCCTATCTTGTAAGTACCGCTTTTTGATAGTCCAAGTTTATTTCGAGTAATATCTACGCTATAAAAAAGGTCACGCATTCACGCAATTCAGCTGGCCCAAAAGGGAACTTTTTGCCATATTTTGCTTTATATTGGGTTGCGGAGGGTGGAATGCGATGGTTACAAGTTTCAAAATCGACTTTGGACTTTCTTCACTTGGAAAGTGGTGATAATTGCGGGTGGCAGGGGCGGTACGTACCGAAGTGTCGACGCTTTACGCAAACCCCAACGGAGACGGAGCTGTCCCTTCTCGTCCCCCTTGTCCTGCTGAACCTCTCATGCGCAAGAGTGGGTTTGCTGCGCAGTGTGGATTTCTCGGAAGCGTTGTTGACATTGCCTAGTGCACCGTTTTGTCTGGTATTGGCCCTTGCATATGATCTCCCCCCCTGCTAATCGCGGGGGTTACGACTCCCAGAAGGATGCTTGGATGCCAGGCGCCGCGCAAGGGTGCCACGGTCAATAACGGTGAGAGCCTGCTTTTTGGTCCGTTTGGAGGGCCAGCGACACTGTGTTCAAGGTGAGACTGTACTTGTTGCAAGAACGGAGGCGCTCTCTTCGTGCGACGCACATGGCAACAAGGGTAGGTACCTCTCCGGCCTTCAACCCGATCGGGGGGCTTGTCAACAATGTGTTTTGTTGTTGTTGGTGAGAACAAACAAAACTGTGTTTCTCGTTTGTGCGTGCCTTGCCAGGCGCAGACTAGTAACCGGCACCGTTGAGACTAAGTTCGGCGGGCTTTGTTGGTCCTGTCGTGGTGGTCGCTGAAGCGCAAAAATGATTCAGGTTCCATCCATCCAGTCAGTCAGTCATCCAGTCGCATGATGATATCGGGTCGATG